CTAATATCCTCATCTACGAGGTAGTCTAGACATACGAAACTACAACGTTTCCTTTTTAAAGCTTGATCATTCCATGCAGGTTGGCCTTTATCAAAATCTCTTCCTTCCTCGGGGCAGATTAATTAATTTCTCTTTTATTCCAAGAATTTTGTAAAAACTGTTAGTATGTTTTCTCTTTATTTTCATATTTCGTCTGACTTGTAATCCTTATATTGATAGAAAGCATGGTATATAATTCTCCCCATTTAGTTTCCATACGTTGAATTAACCAATTTGTCCTAATACCAACAAGCCAGTTGGTTGTTGCCTTGTTGGATACTAAACATGTGAAAATGCTGATGAGAGTGTACAGAAAAAGCATAGATACAAAACATAAAAAGACCTGGGCCCCGTCTTATAAAAAGAGTTGATAGGAATTGCAACTTATCTGCGACTGATATCAATCGCAACTATATGTAAATAAGAGATAGGGGGGGGGGGGGGGGGTTGTCAGTTGGTATAATCATAAGCCTGTTTAGTTTAGATGATTAAGAAAATGAATATAGAATTGAAGAGCAGAAATAGTAAAGAGATTCGATGTACTCTAACTTCGATTTAATCATTTTTTTAGAGTGAAAATTCGTCGCATTTTTATAATGAAAATGCATATACTTCATCATCATAATAAACGTCCTCCTCCTCCTCATCACTACCATCATCATCAGTATCAGAGGGGGAGGGGAGGGGGAGCCAAATATAGATTCGATGGTAGTGGTTTATATGGTTTATAATTATCGTGGGTCCATGACCAAGATATGTGTTATAATAAAGGCTTTCAGTTTTCCCCTTTAGCGCGAAGCGCGGAAGCTTTGACGTTTCCTTAAATTATTAGAGAAAGTAGACGATTCGTTGTACGGTTTTCGACTCTTAATCTTTGTTTGAATTCAGTTTCGCCCTTCCCGCGCGAAGCGCGAAAAGCTTAGTCGTTTGATTTGATTATTATAGAAAGAAAACGATTCGTTGTATCGTTCGCGACTCTTAAGCCTAATTTGTCTGAATTTAGTTTCCCTCCTCCCGCGCAAAGCGCGGAAGCTTTGACGTTTCCTTAAATTCTTAGAGAAAGCAGACGATTCATTGTACCGTTCACGACTCTTAACCCTAATTTGTCTGGATTTAGATTCCCTCCTCCCGCGCGAAGCACGGAAGCTTTGACGTTTCCTTAAATTCTTAGAGAAAGCAAACGATTCGTTGTACTGTTCTCGACTCTTAATCCTTATCTAGATTCACCCCCCCCCCCCTCCCGCCCGAATCGCGGAAGCTTAGACGTTTCCTTGAATTATTAGAGAAAGCAGACGATTCGTTGTACCGTTCACGACTCTTAACCCTAATTTGTCTGGATTTAGATTCCCTCCTCTCGCGCAAAGCGCGGAAGCTAAGACGTTACTTTAATTTTTTGAGAAAGAAGACGATTCGTTGTACCGTTGTCGACTCGTCTAAATGAAGTTTTCCCCTCCGCGCGAAGCGCGGAATTTTGGGCGTTTCATCAAAATATAAAGAAAGGAAGACGATTCGTCGTACCGTTTTTGACTCTTAATCCTCGTTTAAATCTAGTTTCCCCGAAAATTGTAAACCTCTGATTTCTTTAGTTGATATTATAGGAAATTGAAACTTCGAAACAATACAAGTATTGTAGTTGCAGTTACTCGTAAAGTCGTCACAGCGGATAAAAAGTCACAGTTCGTAAAAAAAAAAAAAAAAAACTTGTCGGCCGACCGACAATATACATCTCACCGACTTCAAACTTCTGCATTGATATAGTACACGAGGATCGAGCAAGAATACCGACACAGCTGACCCGACACAGCAACATATTTACCCGTGTCTTTCTTGCTCCCTCGACGAGACGACTCCCCCCAACAACCCCCCTCTCTCGTTTACTCCCACTCCTCCTCTCTCAGGCTCTTACCTCCCCTCTCTCTCCTCTCTTTCACCCCCCCCCCCCCCCTCCCCGTTTCTTTTGATTCCCTTTTCTCTTTATTCTCCTTTTTTTCCTTTTCTTTCTTTTCCTTTCTTTCGTCTCCTACCTCTTTCTCTTTTTTTCTATTTCTTTCTTCACTTTTCTTTCCTTTCTTTTCCTTTCTTTCCTTTCTTTCCCTTTTTTTCCTCTCTTTTCCTTTCTTTCTTTTCTTTTCCTATTCTTTTCTTTCCCTTTCCCTCTCTTTTCCCTCTCCCCCTTTTCTCTTTTTTCCCGACGGCAGCGCAATTTTACCGACAGTATCCTGACAGGTGGGGGTGTCGCACCCCCCCCCCCCCTGGTGTGAGTATGAGTATGCTAAATGGATAGGTGCAAAAGAGAAGGGGAATAGATATCAAGAGAGAGAGAGAGAGGGAGAAAGGGGAGAGAGAGAGTGAGAGAGAGTATGTGTCTCAATCATTTCACGAAAAGGGGTAAGAATAAATATTCCATCTTTATGGGCGCCAGTCATGTCTTATCGAATCAACATCTTATCAATCTCTCAGTCCTGTTATTTCCATGCAGTACCCTATATGGGCCTACTGACACTAAGTTTTCGTTTTCTCACCTGAAAAATATAAAGTGCAGCTATCAGAGCACTGAGTTCATGGAACCTTTGTCATCACCACTTGTTTCTAAACATTACCTGTGAAATCAAAATAATGATAATTATTTTCCCTCTCTTTTATCAAGGTTTGGTTGGTTTGGTTGGGGCTGTTCCGGTTATCAAGCTTGGAAAAAAATGAAATAAGATTAAGTTAAAACTAACACTGTCTTGCGTGTGAACAAATTGATGAACAGGGTGCGATGTCCTTCCCTGACATAGCAGCGGGGATAAAGGGCAGGGGGGGGTGAACCTGGGCAGTCTCACGTCAGGTATACCCACTATAAATTGTATTCATTTTCAGGGCCTATTCCCCATTTGCCGGCCAAAAAAAAGAAAAGGTTGAATTCTATCGGCATTTGAAAGATAATACTAATTTAGAACTTCCCTCGAAACAAAAGGGCTGGAAAATGTCTTTTTGTGGGAAAATATGTTTGTTAGTAGTCTAATTGACTTTAGGGATTACAATCCTCTTAGTAAATAGTCTGATTTTCAGACCCTCATACCGAATGGTGTACGTTTCGTACTGCGCAAAGATTCAATCAGTTTAATTTTGGCCATTACAAGAAGTGGGTTATTAAGGTAGACAAATGCTCTTGTACCCTTTACAGCTGATTTTATGTATGTTATTACCAAAGAAAACAAAGAAGTCAGTAAGTCACTCAATTATAGTGTCTGACAGTGAAGTCTAGAAGGTAAACGGGTTTCTTTGCAGGACACTGCTAACGTTTTAATTGCACAGAATAGACATACATGACATATTCATAATTCCTGCAAAGTTCTACAGACTTTGATGTTTGCTGCAAATGGGACAAAGTACCTTTAAGAGGGGGGGGGGGGGTTCTACCTTATCGCGAATACACTTACTGATTCTGTCATTGTATATTGATCGCACCCGTTGATCTTCTCATGGTGAATGAAAAGTGTTTTCTATTTGTATTCCGTTTCAAAGTCTGTCTACCTAAACCATGTTTATCGTTCGCGGTTTGTAGTATGAGTCAGCCCCTTTATTGTGAAGGTAATTCTCCCAAAGATCTCATTGGTGTGGAATGTCTTTGAAAGCTCAGAAAAAAAACCTTTTGTACCTGGTCGGCTAGTGGTTGAATGCAACTTCGGGGTCAGTGGGGAAAAAAGCGCGTCTGCTGCTAAACATCCCGGCTAAACATGCTAAATTGTAGGGTTCTCTAAAGTTAAACTTATCGCAGGAAATATGTGTAGGGCTTACATCTAAAATGGTCTCGTATCTAAATACGTTACTTGCGGTGGAACTTTGAGGAATACCATATCCAGAGTAAATCTATTAATGGGTTCCCAGTTGCTTGTCATTTGGTATAATTATAAGCCTGTTAGATGATTAAGAAAATGGATATAAAATTATTGTAGAGCATGGAGTAGAGAGATTCGATGTACTCTATAAACTTCAATTTAGTCATTTTTTCAGAGATATTCGTCGCATTTTTTAAAGAAAATGCATCTACTTCATCATCACATACCTCCTCCTCCTCCTCCTCATCACTATCGCCATCATCGTCATTATCTTCATCATCATCATTATCATCATCATCATCATCATCATCATCATCATCATCATCATCATCATCTCAATCATCGTCATCATCTTCATCATCATTATCATCATCATCATCATCATCATCATCATCATAATCATCACAATCATCATCGTTATCATCACCATCATCTTCATCGTTATCAGCTTCCTCCTCTTCTTCCTCCTCCTCCTCCTTCTCCTCCTCCTCCCTCCTTCCCCTCCTCCTTCTCTTCCTCCTCCTCTCCCTACTCCTCCTCATCACTCCAACATGATTTACATTTTTTTCTGTAGTGTTAACTTTATTTTCAGGACAAAATTAATATTCATGTACAATCAAGCATGTATCGACCTCTCATTTCTAGCAAACTCACATCGAGTCGGAATCGAAACCGTAAACATGATCATTTAGATTTGTGAACGGCATTGACATAGATAGATCGGAATAAACAAAACTAAAAATAAAGCTCATGGCTAGAGGCGAAACAATATCCAGACAAGTTAGATAGGTTCAAGACTATAATACCCGGGGTTAAACTTCGACGATGACCGGAAAGACTGGTAAAAACGCTAGGAAAGTGAACGGAACAGACGTTAATGAGTTTTACTTTTTATTTAAACTCTTTTGATAACATTGTGATACGCCACACCCCTTCAACAACAACAAAAGAAAAATACAAAAGAAAAATCGTTATTAACAAAATGCTTGAATACTTGCGTTTTTGAGAAATGAGTTTGTCATTAAGTAGCTAAACTATATTTTATCGATTAAATGCTCTTTCGTTATTACGAAGATCGAGAGGAAGCATCCTCGAAACATCACTCTTCAATAACTTTTGTTTTTCCTGCCCTTTCAGGCTGAAGGTCGTCGACCCATGACACCCCTGTCAACCTGAGACCCTCTGTACTTTGTCAAAGTTTGTTTTGTTTTAAACCATAGAGATAATATTTCTTTCTCTCAACTTATTGCCATGATGTTAAAGGTATAGACCAGTACTGTTCTGGAAATGCGATTTCATTGTGAAAGAATTAACGTTGTGGAATTGATCAGAAAAGGTTGATCATCTAGCATATAAGTATTGGTGTGTATACTGCAAGGTTCTGAAATCATCAAAATGATAAGAAACTTGGCCCAGTCTTGGTAAATTTACAAGCACTGTACACAGAAAGATGTATGTGGGACTACGCCATATATCTCCAGTCCGGATAGATATAATAATTTACCAAATATATCAATTAGTAGGCGGTTTCCCGGCAAATTTTGTATCATCACACGTATAAGTAAAAACATATTCTTTCCCATGATTGGTAATAAGAGCTTCCATTTCATGAGAGGGGGTGGGGGGGGGGGGGGGGTTCCAAAACTGGGCCATACCTTTAAGGTTTTAATGTATAAGGTTCAGCATTACTCTACTACATGCTAAGTTTGGAACAACTTGTTGTTCCACAACTATGTAACCAGGAGTTACATATTCTTTGTAAACATATGTTTTGTATTACCTAGTAATAAAGGAGCCTATATATTTCCTTTATATTGTCTATTTCTCTAGTTTATTTCGAGATGGACTAGATTCTTGTTGATTGAGTATGAATGTGTGTATGTGTGATGAATTGTTTGATAACTTATTTCTGAGGACCGACAGGTGGGGAAACAATATACAAAATTCCGCTGCGCTAGTTTCATTAATGATCCTCCCCCCCCCCCCCCACCCGAGAAAGTTCGGTGCTACACATACATACCAAAATTAATGATAGAAAATGAAAAGGCATTTTTAAGAAGAAGAAAAAATATTATCGTGCTTGGCAATTTGTAGGGGGATTTGCAGTGTTTTTGGAAACCAAACTTGAATAATTATGCAAATCGCTCATTGTGGTCTTAAAACGTATCAAATTTAATAATTGCGCCCAGATAAACAAATAAATTTAAAAATTGAAAATAAAATTCCTGATAAAAAAAATCTGTTTTAACTTGATCAACGGGTAAAACGGATTTTTTTTTTCTTCCTTTTTTTTTCTTGATTTATTTATTCATTTTTATTTTTTACTTTAGTATAGTCTGGAAAATTATTCTGATAAAATTGCCAACAAATACAACACGTTTTGGGGGACCTAAACGGCAACTCAACATTCACTCTTGTTAGGAGTTAGTTCGAAATTATCTCTGGATTAAATGACCAATAATTGCTTCTTATTATGGAGGGTTTTGAGAAGATCATCGCTTGACCCTCGCCTTTTTAGGCAAGTAAAAGTAGGTCCAGGCTATTAAGCAGCATGAATGTTGCTATTTTTCAACTTTGTTCAACTGTTTGCTATAAGTTCGTTCATCCTACTACGTAATTGACCTTGAAAATGAGAGACAATGGAGCAAACATTTCACCTTCTCTTGAACAAGAATATAAAAACCACATAAAAGTGCAAAAAAGTGCATAGATTCGCATCAATGTCAAAGTCTCATGATAACGAACATAAAAGTAGCGCTCCGATAAAAGCATTACCGGAATAAACAAGACTATTTTGTTTTGCCCTGGGTTGTGATTAGTTTCCCTTTCGCTTCACTCAATCGCTGTGAAGAGTTTAATTACACGTTTTTTTTATGTTACGTGAAAATGCTCTTTATGAGACAACATCGTGATTGGTGATTCTAATTGTGACGTCAAACGCGTCGTTCTAATTGAAAGTTGATTGATGAACTCCCATTGGCTGGTGTCAAGTACATCCGGGGATGCTATTCTTAATTGAGGAAGCTCAAAATAGACAAGACGGGAAGGAAATGCTCCGTTGTTTTAAAAGTGACGTGCGACCTCTTTATAATACAATGCTTTCGCTGAGAAAGTGGGGGAAGTAAAAGAGAATGAAAGAGCGAGAGAGAGGGAGTCGGGGAGTTGTGGTAGTAAGTGAGAGAAGGGGCGGGATGGAAGGAGGAAGAGAGAGAGAGAGAGAGAGATAGAGAGAGAGAAATGGAGAGAGAGAGAGAGAGAGAGAGAGAGAGAGAGAAAAGGGAGAGAGAGAGAGTATTTTGACCGAAGTGAATAAGTCTGTTGAGAGGTTATTTTTATAGGGTCACTATAATATGGGTTACAGGCACAGAAAGTAAGGAAGCTCTTTTTATAATGACAAACGTTATATAAACGTGATGAGCATACCAGGGACATGCTATACATTCAAAAGTGTTTAACAGCGGATAGGTTTGATCAATGTCAATGAAGAATATATAGGCTGCATGAAAAGAGTGGAAAAGAAATGAGAGAAAAATATATTCAGACAGACAGACGGACTGAAAGAGAGAGAGAAAGAGAGAGGGGGAAATAGAGAGAAGAGAGAGAGAGAGAGAGAGAGAGAGAGAGAGAGAGAGAGGGGGGGGGGCTAGAGAGAGAGAGAGGGGAAGCGAGATGTATAATAGCATTTTTACCAAAAACATGATCAGGAGCAGTAAACAGTTTCTTGTGAGTACGCATGCGCGCAGTGATGTCATAGCTCATGTTACTAGTAGTTTGCAGCAATAAACCTTTTGTTTGAAATTGTGCAAGCTAAATGTATCTCACGTTCATTTGAGACTATTCATGGAAACTTTTGGATATGATTTTTTGTTAGTATGTGAGGAATTAAGAATAGATGAGAATCTTTACGGAGAGTTAAAATGAATAGCATAAAAATTGATTAAAATTGACATGCGCGTACGTCATGGTTCCTTAAAGGGTCTGCACACTACGAATAAGGGTAACGCGGTGAACATGCGGGGGAATCCCCGTTGGTTTTTCCACGCCGCACACAATAGTATAAAGCATCGCTGCATGCCCTGAACAGAATCATATTATACACTTCAGCAGAGACTATAGCAACATCAACTCTCCCAGGACAAACAAGCGAATCTTCATTTTCGAAATCGTTTAGAATTGATAAAGATTGAGAGTTTTATTCGCATCATTTTTAAATTTGCATTTATAGGCGCAAACTCGATTATAGGCACAACAACATTACTCCTCAAAATCTGTCTGAACTGTTCATATTTTACCGTTTTATGCATGTATGCAAAGCCTGAATGCATGCACGAAGTTCAAACCGCGGTTATTTCTGTTTGTTTCCTGAAGTGATCTAAGTTGAGAGCTGTGGTTTTCCCCGCCGTCCGTTCGCGAAAAGGAAACTGAATCCAAGTTCTACTAGTATTCAGAGACGTGTTTCGCAATACACATTGACATTCTTTCTATCGAGGGATCCCCATGAGTCATCCCAAGTCCAAGACCTCACAGATAACGACTAGGACCCAATCGATTGATTACTAGCTTAGTTATCGACCCGAACTCATCAGTTGACCACCAAGCTGTTGCCGTGAACACACACTCAGATTTGCAGCTTCTAACTTTCAATTAGCAACGCTTAGACACAAGGACTCTTCAGTTTATTTTCGGTTTTTGTCTACTTCTCAACAGAAACTCTGAGCACTTAGCAAGTTTTCATTTCATTCTGCTCGTAACAGTCTGTTCGTTGTGAGAGCTTCTCATCCACAGCTATAACCCGTACCCAATGCTTTCGTTGCTTCAGAAGCTTAGGACCAAACTGTACCGAGCAAAATCGACCACCGTACCGAAGATGGACTTAGAAGCCCGCATGGGTCACGACGACAGTCCCGCCTCCGTCTGGATCCCGCCGTCGGTGATGGCGGACCGACATCATCATTTCGACCGAAATCGCAGTTTCAGACGACAGCTTTCGAGGAAGCTGAGTTCCCACGCGAAACAAATTAGTAATAGTACTTGTAACCCGACCGCCTGCGCCATCGCAGTGTGTTTCATCACGGCGATTCTGGCGTTGATCGTCTCTTGCTTCACGTTCTATCTGTACGTGCAGAGCCATGGACTGGGACACGAGATGAAAATCATCGAGGATGCTTTCAATCCGGTAAGTTAAGAGACTGAGACAGAGATAGAGAGACAGAGAGAGAGAGAGAGAGAAAGAGAAAGAGACAGAGAGAGAGGGGGTATAGTTAGAAGGGAGAGAGCGAAAGGAGAAAGATATAAAGAAAGAGAAAGAGAGAGAGAGTGGTATAATTATATGGAGAGACGGTGAGACAGACTTGACAGAAAGAGTGAGAGATAGGGTAAGAGAGAGAGAGGGGGAGGGAGAAAGAGAGAGAGAGAGAGAGAGAGAGAGAGAGAAGGGTGGGGTGAGAGAAAGCCAGAGTGGGAGGCAGAGTGTGAGAGGGTTTAGAGGAGTACGTGGTAGGCCTATGGGAGTAGAAAAGAAAGAGATAGACAAAAAGGGAAGTTGAAGAGAGAGAGGATAAAAACAAAATGGTCAAAGAGGCTACGCTGTATTCTATTATTCATCAATGGTATCTGGTAAACAGCGATTTTACAGGTTTTGATACACAGTTACATCTTGTGAACGTTGTTCTCTGATTACGCTACATGTTGCCGTCTTCAAAGTTTGTTAACAAACGGTTAAGACGCACTTGTTTTAAGGAGCTTTTGAATAGTTTTTGGTATATTGTCCGTAAAGTAGCACTGTTAGTAGTTTTTTTTAACCACAGCGCGGTAGAGTATAATAGTCATGATAGAAGCTGTGCTGTTTAAATTGATGTAATTATTATCATAGACGTTGTAAATCAAGAAATTGTTTCACCTCTTTGAATAATATAATCAATCAATATTATTGGGGCTACCAACGTGCATATACTCTTCATCCCCGTCCAAATATCCTTGATCAGTATATGCTTTGTTCTTATCACTATTTTCTTCGAAAATCTTTCAATTGTTTACTTAATCAATATTTATTCAAACTTCGATTCGAAGAAGCACACACTTTAATAATCAGTTATCACGAAATCATGATATCAAGGAAACAAAGTCTTTATCATTATCCAAAAAATAATCACTAAAGTAATATCATTATTAGTTATAGACAGTGTACATAACCTTATCCAGGTACGAGGGCACCAACTGAACACAAAAACACCTTCCTATTTTTAGATAATATTGTTTACATTCGTATCAAACTCTGCGAAAAAAGACCCTCTGCCTTCGGATTTAGGCTATTGACTCTTTGTATAGTTCGAACCGGTTCAATGAACATTGTCAATAAAACTGATGGAAATACCCTTGCGTGCATTAGAGCATTTCGCATTGCTCAATAAAACATTTAGGTGTTTTTCCACCCATCCATTGGGATTTTTTATTATTTATTTAACCAAATATTCAAGCACAAAAGTCCTACTCAGTATTTTCAGTAGGTTTCCATGCACGATGAGAAATACTAGCTGCCACTGACAGGTTTCAGTACAAAAAAAGGCTATGCCTATGGAAATCTCGCCGTGTGAAAAGAACAGCCATTTTATTTTTTCATTGGTTTTGCATTCAGACTATTCATTAAAAATCTGACACGATGTTAAAATGACAACTTTCAGTTTTGAAGATAGAGATACTGATGTCGAAACCAACTTTTGCTGCTGAATACACATTCTGCATGGGGATAGACAAAAGTGGAGGAAGAGTTTTGCTATGGCTTTTCTAAATGCCCAAACAATGATAATTCACTCTTGAAACAAATACAAGTGACTCTCACGTAGCTTACATTTACAAAGAGGACAATTATTATTTTCCCATAACGACCTAAGTCCCAATCTGTGCATAGGCCTGAAAAGATTGAAACATTTATTTTCTTGAAGCAAAGACTCTTTCTCAAACTTACCATCTCATTTTCAATCTTCTTTTTTTAAAGTAATATGAGAATACCATTTTATGCTCCACTATCAACTTGTAAATCACTCTGTTAAATAATTTCCCCCTTCCTTTATGTCCGTTTCTCGTGTAGAATTCAGATAGTCAACATGGTGCTTCACCTTCACCCCGATTCGATGGTCCTCAAACAACTATGCCATCACCATCACACGAGGAAGCAGCGAAATCAGCGGCTTACGCTCACATTGTCGGGGCAGACAATGGTCCGAGAGGAAACGATAGGCAATTGGGTAAGGAATAAAGAACAACATATTTTGTTTCATTTTTATACTTTAATCACTTCTTTCACTTTTTAGTCTTGTAAGTCAACTCGATCGCAGACTTTCTAAAATGGGATTGAATATAAGGGTGTTGGAATTGCACTTGTCAATGTGTTTGTGTCTTCGCGATCCCGTTCTTTGTGTCCGTTATCTAGACCGAATCAAAAACTTATTAAAGTCTGCATCTTGTAGACAACATTATTACTTTCCCTTTGTTAATTTCCTCTTCATCACTCCGTTTATTGTGAACTATGCCTCCATGTAAATTAATAATAACTATATTTTAAAATTGTTTTTAAAAAGGGTTGGCCTATTGGAGAAACATCTTCTAAAAGGATCGTGGAAAACCAGGGTGGTTAAGTCTGATATGAGCTCTATAGAAGAAAACTCACGATTATCATCATTATTATTAATTGACTGTAAACTTTTAAAAGATTTGTCCTCATTATTACTAATACTTAATATGTATTATTCTTTTTCGTTTATTAGAATGCTTAGCTCAATGGAAAGCGAACGCAACGCACAACGTGAACTTCCTGGGCACCTACGGCATTGAAATCGTCGAGCCGGGTTATTACTACGTCTACACTCAAATCTACTTCAGTGATTCCGAAAGTGGGGCGACGGTTGACCCCTCATCTCAGCAGGCGTTGCCCATGGTAACTAGTCATTTTTTTTAAAACAAATGTTTCTCGTCCTCTTCTTCCTCCTCGTCCTCCTACTCCTTCTTTCCTCTTACAGCCTCTTTAAAGTTCTCATGATTTCAAAGACGACTGTCCAAATCTTTCTTTTCTTTGCGTCATCTGAACTTTTTTTCATCTTTTCCGCCACCTTAATCCTTAAAACCTTTGTCGTGTTAAAAATGATCCTCACGTAATCGTACATACATACATACATACGACATACGGCATGGGGTTTTTAAAGTCTAAGTTAGGTTGTCAGGCGGAAATGAAAAGTCGAGAGGCTTTGGTCAAATCGACATATTAAGACAGACATATTTCTATGGTACTATGGCAGTATGAACTTGTGTCCATACTGACTCCATAGTTAGCCATTGGTTAGGATATTTTGGCCAACTCGGTTCGAGTTGGGCATATTCTATGGCTATGGCTAATACTGTTTTGTAGGGCAATATAGCACCCAAAAAAGAAAAGAATATGCACCATGTTGTGACCAACCGAAACTATAAGTTGGCCAAATTATGTGTACATAATATGGCTCTTGTTTCCAGCAAATCATAACCCACGTCATTTCCCTTTTTATTCTCTGCTGCAGCGTTCTTCTACGAATCGCAACCACGTCCCGCTGATGGAGAGCGTCGTCCCTTTCAAAGAATACGCGACGAAGTACCACGGTGGCGTGTTCCATCTCGACAAGGGCGATAAGATCACCGTGAGCGTATCCAATGACAATCTCCGGATCAACACCGGGAGCGACAAGACCTTCTTCGGGGTTTTCATGTTGCGTTCGACGACGCCCGATCACGCCGGGGCTGCAGCAGCAAGTTGAACTTTGATCTCCGCCTAGCGGGGGAAGAGCTAGTAGGAGAAAAAGATCAAAGAAGTTCGTTTGTGCAATATTCAGAACTATGTGGTAGGAAATGTACAAGTAGCACATAAGTTATTATCGTACTAAACTATAAGGGTACTATTTCACGCAGAGAAGAATAGTTATTTCCCGGTTTTATCAAAATGCCCTTCAAGGCATGCTAAAAGGAAAAGGGAAATGCCTGAAGTGCGTGTAAGCATTCGCCCCACAGGATTCGTATAATGTTAGGAAAATCCTTAAGGGGCTATTGTTACCCTGGCACCCCTTTGTTATGTACCCTGAAGGCTGAAGTTATAGACCTATTTTATAACATAGTTTGTGATAAAGCGTTTTCCTGTTAAGGATGTAACGTGGTAATAATTTCTGTCCCCTTTTTTTGTTTGTTTGTCGGAAAGGCAGCAGATGTTTGGTTTAAGAGGAAAAAAACAGGACGCAGTGACAACATTGTGAAAGTGAATCTATATAAAGGTGTTCTGAGAAAATCTAGGACTATATCAGAATCGCAGGATACGCTGTCTGTAAGAGATTTATTTGTTTATCAGTTTGTTTGATAATTGTAACGGAGTGTTGTCATACCCAATACTAGCTTATAAAAGAAATGCAATGGCTTGTTCAGTTATGGCGCTGTAAACCGTCATTCGTGTAAATGAATTTACACAAGAAATTCGCACCGTGTTACGGTGAATTTTATTAACGTGATCTGATATTCAGATTTATAGTTTATGTTCTTTAATGAGATGGTTTTGTTTTTAAAAAACGATGTCGTTTGATGAGTTCTTATTTTCATTTTGTTAATCCAACATTATTTTAATTTCTCTGATTGATAATCTTATCCATATTATACGATGAGGAAATTAAATCTTGAAAACTTGTCAGTACATACAAAAGTTAACCTGCTATAACTGAACTATTTCCTATTATGACGTCATACGAGACATCTTAGATTGACAGGCGTCTTTTTGGTGTATGTAGGCAGCGAAGATTGCCAAACTGCCGAACGTTGCCAATTTAAATGCCGAGTAATATAGGCCTACGCCAAGGGTACATTAATTCATGCGCTAGGAAATTTACGAGTAGAGTTATTGAGCAAATGGAAAACAAATAAAAGTAGCATATCTCACATAATTAATACGTGGATTGTACACTTTATCTAGTATAATTATAATGATGATTTTCATAATTATCGCATAGTTAACACACAAAGAGCAACTTGTATGTTCCAGTAGACTCGTCAACTAAATATATATTTTAAACTGTCTTTTTCGTTTCAAGCACATGGTAATTATTATACGATTATTTTTGTTACGCTTTAACCTGCATTTCTCACTGCTCTCCAGTGAGTGGTATTTCTTCATGTGCCCATCTTGACAAAAGCTTTTCAATAAATAGTTTGACAAATATTATTATCATTTACACTGCGACTGGCATAATGAACACATTTTCCTCCGGCTTTAAATAATATAACTAACATCTATCCGTCAAATATCTTAACATGTTCACATTCTTGCCAAAAGAGTTACTGCCATGTGTGTAGTTCTTTGTGAAAACTGTACAGCAGTGAGTGTCATTTTTTATGTACCTTACACAGTGGTTGTCTTTATTTTGTTATGACTGTACAACAATTTGACCAATTCATGTACTAATTCAGTTTCGATCATTGTGTAAATTATGTACTCTTGAATTTTTGTTTGATATTGCAATTACGATTTACACTACATTTTATTGGTAGATCCATCATTCTGTTGTATAGAATATGTGTTGTATATTTTGTGAATGTATATAAAAAGAGCAATTATATTTTTGTATTAATTTGTTAGTATTGAAATATTTACGCAGAGCACCTGTTGGCCTATCGTTTATAAAGAAGAACATGTGAATCAATGCGCTTTAATAGTAATAGAAATGTTTCATTCCAATGGTTTACACAAATTTTTACGCTAAATCTTCACCCGTGGACATTATAATCCTGAGACTTCTTAACAGTAATGTTACGATCAATTTGAATACAATAGTAATAGGATATATTTGATTATTATTTTACCGTATGTTTTTCTGTAAATCAGACTATGGACCGACCATGGGAATAACACTTGATGCCAAATTACTTTCTCTTTCATGTTTTCATAGCTAATAGAATTACAGCAAAACTAATGATGTATAAATATGTTACATGCAGTTGAAATGTGAAAGCTATTATCGTGTACAATAATATGTATTACTCTGTGCATACTAGTAATTTATTAAATATTTGCCTTTTGTAATATAATGATATGAAAGAAAAAAGAGAATCTTGTTCATTATTTTGTATATCGCTTTTAACACGAGTGTGAGTGAGAGTGAGAATATCATAATATTTGATATTTTATATAGCTCATAATTGTTATCCACCATGGGAGGTGCTCAAAGACAGAATTAAAGGGATGGCTTCCGTTTGGTACCCATTTAAACCATGGGTGGAGAGCTGCAAAATTAATGTAGGTTAGTGTTTTTGCGAAATGACACTATTACCAGGGCTCGAACCCACAAGTTTCAAGTTTCAATCTCATTTTTTCATTTCCACACATCTCAAACAATTTTAACACAATAAGTGCAAAACATAATACAATGGAAAACACGGTTATAAATGTCACAGGTTTTAACATCTTGATAACTATTATGCAATATTTAGCCTGTATCATCAAATGAAAGAATTCGTGTTTATTTCAAGCTGAAGAGAGAGTGTGGGGGAGGGATGAAGGGGGGGGGGCCATAATAGAAGCGAAGCGAGGCTCGTAATACTATACGTACTTACAAATATACAAGAAAGTGTGACGAAAGAAAAACAGAGAGAGAAGGAAAGAATGAAGAATGAAGTGATATGCCGGGATGGAGTGCAGTTAGAAAAAAAAGGGGTCCAACTAAGATTAAAGTTGGAAAAAGAGATTGATAGGGAGCTTTCCCAACATTAACTCACTTGATTTTTTTCTTTTTGTATTGGGAGGGGTGTTCTTTTACGGTTATCATTAATAAAACAAATATTACACTTGGTATTCGTTATTTTGTTTCCTTTGCTGATTTTTCTTCATGCCATTTCAAAACGTTGAAAATGCCAATCGTACATCATCAATTTCAATATATACACTCTATAAATTAACCATAATTGATTCATATATACTTTTACCAACTTCCGCAAGGAAGCTGTTCTCACGTTCTCAGAAACTTAATTGCCATAAATAGCCACCCTTTTATGCTGGTTTCATCTTAATCATATATTACAGAGGTATCAAGTCATTTCTTGATTGAGGGCGCAATTTCTAAAAAAAAGACATGTCAAAGGTTAAATTTCGTTTATAGCAAAACATTCTCCGCAAAATGATCATAATTTTGTTCATTTATATTGGACTGAGCATGGGGTAGGCACAGTGTTGCGAATTTTCTCTTTCCCTCAGCATGAGAAAAGGATAAAATTTAGAGCGCCCCGCCTCCAACCCCCACAAACGCGTTGACTGCGCCGCAGCCCATTCAAAGAAATCGAAAGTATGATGTATTGAAATTGAAAGTAAATCATGGGCAAAGCTTCACAGATATCAGTATTACAGTGCAAGCTGCTGAAGGATACTGTGTGAATTTGATTGAGAACAAAAATGAAGGAAAAAAATGGAGAAAAAATCAGCATAATGATCGTAAAGATTGTATTAAGATGATGATAATCAAGTTTACCATTCATCAATAATTTTGAGTTCAGATGAACCAGATACCACAACTCATGTCAGAAAAGATTCAGAATTTTGCGATGTTATATTCCAATGCATCTCCTCAGTGCTTACTTTATTGGTTGCACTGATAATTTATCATAGAATGCTACCCCTATCATTGGTTTAAGGATTTTGTTGAAGGAGTGGACAATTATTCTTTTCCTTATCATGTTATTTTCAAACAAATAACGGACTTGCCTGTATAATAATGTTTTGAATGTGGGGGTCACAAGCTCAAATATAATCAAAGAAAAAAAAAAGCAATTAATAACGAAAACTTGTAACTATAATCATAACTAACTAGAAAAAGGAAAAAAGGGGAGAAATTGGGTGGGGGGGGGGAGAAAAAAGAAAAAGGAAAGAAAATAAAAAATAAACAAGAAGAAGAAGAAGACGAAGGAGAAGAAGAAGGAGAAGAAAAAGAAGAAGAAGGAGAAGAAGAAGATGATGAAAGAGAAGGAGAAGAAGAAGAAGAAGAAGAAGAAAAAGAAGGAGAATAAGATGAAGAAGAAGAAGAAGAAGAAGAAGAAGAAGAAGAAGAAGATGAAAAAGAAGGAGAAGAAGAAGAAGAAAAAGAAGGAGAATAAGATGAAGAAGAAGAAGAAGAAGAAGAAGAAGAAGAAGAAGAAGAAGAAGAAAAAGAAGGAGAAGAAGAAGAAGAAGAAGAAGAAGAAGAAGAAAAAGAAGGAGAAGAAGAAGAAGGAGAAGGAGAAGAAGAAGGAGAAGCAAAACGAGGGGGAGGAAAAGACCAGTCAGACAAAAACAATTTAAATTTAAACGAGGAAAAGGAAAAAGGAAATGAAAATGTAATCAAATATTTAATAAAAACATGTGACAGTGGTAAATGTATACCTTGAGTAACTAATTTCAACATAAGTAATACAAATAAATTCTAAAACAATAGAAAACTGATCTCTTTGTAGGAGTATTTCAAGACATTTCAAGACAAGATTTTGAAATGAAAGCTAATAATAACGTTCAACTGGACAAGATAATGTGACAACAAATATATCAATTACGTTAAGTGTTTACTATTGTAATGCATCAGGAAATTGTTTACGAGAAGGAAAGGAATGGCAGATGGGGGTTTGAGGGGAAATTGATGGAATAAATGTGATGTTGTGGTAGAATATCTTTCTTTTTTTTAAATTTTTTCAAAATTCCAGCTTTAAAAATTATCATTAGAATAAAAACGTATTATAAAAGTACTCGGGGGAGGTCAACTAATAACTATACACTTTGTAAGAACGCTTCTTTAAAAAAAAACTTTG